ATGAACTATGAATTAACTGTGAACTATGGTGTTGGTGAGGCATGAACTATGAATTAACTGTGAACTATGGTGTTGGTGAAGAATGCTGAAAATACCATGGGCTTCCAGAAGAATGAACAAATCTGTCCCAGAAGAAGTGCAGCTGGAATGCTCCTTGGAAGCGAGAATGGCCAGACATCATCTCACCTGCTTTGGTCATGTTGTCAGAAGGGACCGTTCCCTGGAGAAGGATGTCCTGCTTGGTAAGGGGGAGGGTCAGCACAGAAGGTGGAAGGCCCTCAATGAGATGGACTGACCCAGTGGCTACAATGATGGGCTCAGGCACAGCAGGGATCATGGGGTGATGCAGGACCATTGTGCACAGGGTCACTATGAGTCAGAGCCGACTCAATGGCACCCACCAACTCGTGCAGCGCAACGGAGCATCACTGTGGTTTGGCTGACATCTCTGATGGCTGATGTCACTGACTGTCTCCATGCGTTTGGTGGCTGTTTGTGTTTCTGTGGGGTTTTGCTGGCCAAGTTTTGGGGAAGCAGATTGCCAGGCCTTTTTGGACCTGCCTCTGGGTGGACTGGAACGTGCTGCTTTGTTGGCAGCAGGTGCATTAACTGCTTGCACCCCAGGAGCGCTCCGGTCCTCGATGCCGATTCCTGGCTCTGTAGAGGGGAGCTCACTAAGCCAGATGGCTTCCAGCACCTGACACAGGACTTGTGAGTGCCTGGCATGGAGTTGGCCCTCAGGAGGTTTGGCTCAGCGAGGGGTGAGCATCCCAGCCGTGCACAGCATGGTTCACCAAACCAAATTCCCAGGTGCCCTCGTTTGGGGTTTCCAGGCTGTTCCGGCTAATCTGATATTAGCAAACCTCCCACACACCTTCCTCACTGGAGTCGGTTTCCAATTATGTCTGCATTTTCCTGATCTAAATGAGACAGGGAGGAAGGGCTCTGCCGGGACCTGGCCTCGCCCAGATGACAGCACACATCACAGCCTGGCATTAGCCCCAGCCTCACCTTCGTGCCTGGGCTTTACAGCTGACCTCACAGGCTGGCCTAGACCCCAGCCTGCTGGAGGTGCGGAGGGAGCTCCCGGAGCAGCAGGAGCAAAGCCCTGCCGACGTGGCTCCAGATTGGCGGGGAGCCCCAGGGAGGGGTTACAGCACGCACTCGTGAGCACACGTTCGTTAGACACTGGCGGTGTGCACGGCCCACGGCCTCCTGGACTCAGGGAGGGTCCAGCCAGGTGGAGAGACCAGCGGGGAGCAGGCATGGGCTTCGGGGGCCTGTGCCTTACAATAGACAGTTCCTGGGGTTTGCCCTGCTCCGGGGCGCTGGTGTTCACACGGGGGCGTGAGGCAGGCGCTGGGCCCAGGAAGCCTGGGTCTGAATGTCATCCTTCCACTGACAGCTGTGTGGGTGGGACAGTCGAGGCCTCCTGGTGCCTCAGTTTCCTCACTAGTCAGGCAGCAGGGACCCTGCTGTACAGGTAAAAACAGACGCCACACTCTGGGCAGCAGCTACAGGGGTTAGTGATTGCGGCTGTTGTTTTCATGGGCCTGTGTGTGGACCCCGGGGCGCCTCTTGGACCCAGGGCTGCTCGTGGATCCCGGGGCTGCTTGTAGACCCCAGAGCTGCTCACAGACCCCGGCCGGCAGGAGAAAAGGAATGCACAGCCTTGGTCTGTCCAGGAGGGTCTGCCATGGAGGGTAGTACCCCAAGAGACATGTTCAAGTCCTGGCCCTGGGACCTGGGATCATGACCCTGTTTGGATCTGTGCCTCAGTTTCCACCTCTCTCAAACGAGGATAGTAACAGAGCTGTCCTATGCTGTCCTGACAGGTGACAGAGTGGCACAGCGCAGGTGCTAAGGTGTTGGTCCTACCACTTCCCAGTGGCACCTCCTCCACGCGCGGGCACGCATGCCCCGGTGGCCCGCCAAGTCTTGTATGTGCACAAGACCCCTCATCTTGTCCCAAGAGCCACCTGAACCGTTACACATGCCCTGCCTTGTGAATCCTCAGCAGTTCCACAAGGCAGGCATGTCTCCTTCCCACCGTATCCTCCACGAGGCAGGCGTGTCTCGTGTCTTGTTCCCCACCATACCCCCATTCCCAGCACAGTGCTGGGTGCTCAGTAAACATTAAACAGAGTTAAACGGTCCATCAGCCCTCACTGTCTCCACAGATGTGGCTGGCTAAGCCCTCCAAGCTGTGCCCCACTCTGGGGGCCTCAGTTCAGCATCCTGGTTCAGTGTGAGTTTTGCACAGTGATGTCGCACAGCCTGGAAATCAGTGCACCCACTGACCACCTCTTGCTTCACTTCCTGTGGTGGGCGGGCAGCTCAAGGTCTCTGCAAATGCCACCCCGAGTCCCAGCCCCTGAGGAGAGGGTCAGGAGGACACTGCAGGCCATGTGCACACGGGTCAGAGCTGTTGTGCATCGCAGACACTGTGTTTTTTACAAATGGAAGGTTTGGGACAGCCTTGTGTCAAGCAAGTCTCTCTCCGCCATTTTTCCAGTAGCGTGAGCTGGCTGTGTCTCTGTCTATTTCGGTCATTCTCACGGTATTTCTAAGTTTTCCATCTGCTGCGGCACACTTCATAGCCTACAGTCTAGTGTAAACTCGATTTTTTGCACCAGAAACCTCATGTGACTTGCTTTATTATGACACTACCTTTATTCCTGTGGCTGGGAACCAAACGCGCAATATCTCAGAACGTGCTGTACTTCCCACAAGCCATTGCAGCACGACTGCTTCACTGACTGTGAGACAAGCCAGCGGGTCCCCTCAAGACAGTTGTGCACACCCTTGGGCAAAACTCAACAAGCCCCCCTGGCCATGGATAATGCACCCCAGCCCAACCTAGCAGTCCTTCGGGAAAACCACCAAGGAGGTGCCCAGAACATGCAGCAACCGCACAGAACAGGCCAATGCTTTGTTACTCTCTCCAACAGACAGAAGCCGCCTCAGTCATATTGCTGTTAAAGTCTCTGGCACGGCCTCTCACTCTGGACACGTGTCTCGTCACCGACAGCCTATGTGCCAGCAAGAAGCCCTCCTCAAAGCCATTGCTGTGGGATGTTGGATCCCCTCCCCCGGTGCCAGCCCCCACAGCCCCACTCACCCGCATGCCCAGCTCAATGTTCTCTCCACCGTACACCTCCATGCCCGGGTCTAGCAGGCCAATGTCCCCGAAATATTCCCGGTCCACCACGAACGAGCAGCCGATCATGGCGGGCGTCCTGGGGGAACAGAGATGGTGTGTAAGGGTGCAGCAGGCCAGACAGCCTCGTCCACAGACCCCCACTCCTCCCTGCTGTGGTTGGCCCCAGCGGGTCCCGTGCCCAGGGCATGGGGAGGGCCATTTCTCCAGCCACCAGGCACACAGGTGAGGCCACCTCAGCTTCTCTCTGCCTCCCTCCCTCTGAGCCTGGAAAGTGACCCAGCGTGGACCATTGGAGAACAGCGACAGGTGACCCCAGTGAGCATTGGTTCAGGTGGCTCCTTAAGGGGGAAAAGCCATGCTGCCCCCAGTGGCTGCTGGGTTGCCATGAATGTCGTCTCCCTCCCTCGTGTTGTCCTGGGTGTGTCTAGTCAGGGCTGCAGCGGGCAGTAGTGTAGGCTGTGCACTGCTCACCTCCGTGGGATGCTGTTCATCTCAGACTCTCTCTGGGGGACACCCCTGGAGTTGTGGAGTGCACAACCCGAGCAGCCAAATACGGCAGATTGTGGCTCTGTGGTCAGTTCTGTGGGGATTTCGGCAACTAAAACTATGCCTTCAACCCCACTCAGTCAAGTTAGCCTCAGCCCAAGCCATGCCGTGTGAGAAGTCTCGAGGTCCTGGGAAAGCATCTCAGGGGCAGAGGCAGAGGTAGGAAGGAAGGACAGGAGCCAGGGAGCCAGGTGGGGAGCCGTCATCCACGAGTGACTGACGACTGACGGAGTCACTCTCATTCACTCAGTCAGTCAGTCAGTCACTCACTCACTCACTCACTCATTCTCTCACTCACTCACTCAGGATATGCAGAGTGCCAACCTGTGTCATAGGACACAACCCTGACTCACTCATTCACTCACTCACTTATTCACTCACTCATTCATTCACTCACTTATTAACTCACTCATCCACTCACTCATTCATCCATTCGCACACTCATTCATTCACTCCCTCACTCATTCACTCACTCATGCACTCGCTCATTCATGCACTCACTCATTCATTCACTCACTCACTCACTCATTCATGGACTTAGGATGTGCAGAGTGCCATCTTGTGTCATGGGACACAACCCTGACTCACTCGTTCACTCACTCATTCACTCACTCACTCATTCACCCATTCACACACTCATTCATTCACTCCCTCACTCAATCATTCACTCATTCACTCACTCATGTAATCACTCATTCATGCACTCACTCATTCACTCATTCATGGACTCAGGATGTGCAGAGTGCCATCCTGTGTCATGGGACACAACCCTGACTCACTCATTCACTCATGCACTTATTCATTCACTCATTCATTCACTCACTCACTCACTTACTTACTTATTCACTCACTCATCCACTCACTCATTCATCCATTCACACACTCATTCATTCACTCACTCATTCATTCACTCACTCACTCATTCACTCACTCATGCACTCGCTCACTCATGCACTCACTCATGGACTCAGAATGTGCAGAGTGCCATCCTGTGTCATGGGACACAACCCTGACTCACTCGTTCACTCATTCACTTATTCATTCACTCATTCATTCACTCATTCACTCACTCATCCACTCACTCATTCACCCATTCACACACTCATTCATTCACTCCCTCACTCACTCATTCACTCACTCACCACTAGTTGCTGCAGATTAAAAAGAGGAAGAAAGGAAGAGCATGTCTCCAGTAGGATGCAGCTACGGTCTGTGTTATAAGAAAGCTGGAATTTCTAAGCTTCAGTGAAAGATTTTGACTCAAAACAAAGACAATTTGTACATGGGGGCTTAGTTTCTTGGAAGGCAGCTGTAACCAGCACAGGCTTCATGCGGTTGCTGACTGCCCAGGTGTTCTGAGGCTGGGCATGACGGCGACACTGTGCCACTCCTTCAACAGCCCCTGCCCCTCCTGCAGGTATGAAATCTCTCATGTTACAGACAGCAGCCCTGAACGAGTCTCCGTCATGACTCAGAAGCAGTGTTTCTGCTGCAGTGGCTGGGAGCTCAGAAAGAAACGTCCATCACTTCTCCAGGAGTAACAGGCCCATTAAACACTGATTACCCTGCTCTGAGTGCAAAGATGCAGTTTGTTCCGTCATTAGATTCTGGCCATGACCATCTGGGAACGAAATTTGAATACCATCTTTGGTATTTCACTGGTTCAGCTGTAGTCCACCAATATATAACAGGTGTTTCTCTCATTTTCCCAACAAAAAAGATGATGGGTGCCCTCTGATGACCTGAAGCACCGTGTCCCCTGCCAGGCCTGTTACAGCTGGTAACAGTGCCATTTTATTATTGCTCAGAGTTCCAAAAGGAACTTGTAAGGCTCCGGGAGTCTGCTGGCAGTACCTTTATTTGCACGAGAAATTCCTGCCGTGAGTCCAGCAGCAGCAGGGCTCAGGGACACTGTGGCCCAGGAGTCCTCGGATCCAGGGGGACCCTTGTCATCATGTGGACGGTACTTATACCTGGGCTGCTCTCAGTGCAAGGGGAGACAGTGATCCAGCACACGGGGCCCTGATCTCTAAGCTGCTTCTCCCCACACCCCGAGCCTCTGTCTCCTGGGACTTTCAAGTTCAGCTGGACCCCCTATTGTTAATGCCATTGCTTTGTTTTTAAACAGAGAAGTTCATCTATTTGCTGCAAATCTCACTGTTAGTAAGATTTGTCTGGATGCAGAGCCCATGTCTGTAACCGTGGTCCCTGGGTGGCTTCGTGGTTAAATGCTGGTCGACTAAACAAGAGGCACCTCAGAAGAAAGCCCTGCCAATGCACTTCTGAACAAGCAGCTGTTGAGAGTCTGTGACACACACGGGGTCACCATGAGTCGGGGTTGACTGGTAGCCGTGACGTCATCTGAGCTGCTCATGAAGTCGTGTTTTGTCTGCATTGTTTATTGTAGACACACAGGTGGCATCCCACAAGCCACCTCCACATGGACAACTCAGTGACGTCTGCCATATTCATCTTTAAGGACAAGCATCATCATTTTCCTCCTCCGAATTCTTCTGTCACCCTGCTGTCATTGTTTTTATTCTTTAAAGGACCCATGAAGAGGGGAAACGACTCAAAGGTCCATCAACAGAATGGTTACACAAATTGTAGTCTGTGCACACACTGGGGTATTACTCAGCCTAGAAAGGACTGCAGTCCTGATGCATGCTTGATGGATACATCTTAGGAGGGAGAAGCCGAGGCCAGGGAGGCTGAGTGACTTGTGCAAGGTCCTGAGACAGCAAGGTACAAGCTGGGGTGCAAACCCTGGTGCCCCCTCAGCCCTCTTCCACTGAGGGGCCGGAGCTAGCCCATGCGCTTCCATCACACAGTACCTAGGCCCTCAGACCTGATCCTCTGCACGGTGGAATCTTGGGGGCCCCCCGCTCTACACTGGCTGATCTCCCCGCCCTTGCGGTCTGCTCTGTTGCCTTTCCCTGTTTGCAGCCTCGCTCTTGGCCTGGTGGGGAGAAGGTCTTCAGGAGGGGCCCCGTGGCCAAGTGCTTGGCCCAGTGACTCTAGCCACTGCTTCCAGGGCAGCCGTTCCCTGTGTCAGGAGTGGGCTTTGAGAGGCTAGGCTTCCTCACACACCTCGGACCCACGTCCAGGAGCAGCACTGCCTCGCCTGCCCAGCATCCTGAGGGGGGGCTATTCCTTAGGGCCATTCCTGTCCGGGAGGCTCTGGTGCCACAGACTGTTAATGCACTCAGCAGCTAACCAGAAGGATGGAGGTGCGTCTGCCCAGCAGCACTGCACTAACAGGCCTGGCGAGGCCTGGTGTCTTCAGTAGAGACGACAGACCAAAGCCACGGGGCAGTTCTACTCAGTAATGCACGGGTCGCCATGACTTGGAAGGGACAGAAACCACGAGGCAGCAGCAACATTCTTGTGCTGGAGCCCGGATGGTGCAGACGATGAACACAAAAGGCTACAGGCTCAAGGGCAGCCAGCGTGCCTCAGAAAACAGGCCTGGTAATCCACTTCTAAAACCGACCATTGAGAAGTGTTACCCAGCACAGTCCCCCTGTGACGCACGGGGAGGGCGCCGTGAGCAGGACTCTGCCCTCACAGGCCCCTGTGACACACAGGGGGCACCATTAGTTGGACCCTGCTCTGAAGCCCAGCACATACAGCAGTGCCCTCCCCCAGTCCGTTGGAGGGAGGGGATCTGAACTACTGGGGACACGAGCCCAAATACTTCCTATGGGGCTGCTGGTCTCCATGCCAGCTGGGAGCTGCATCCTGTGTAAGGACATGGCAGTTACAGTCCATTATCCAGAGGGTCCTGGGCAGAGGGGCCCTGAGGAGGGGTGCACCTCGCCCTGCCCCATAGTGGGTGCCACATGGAGTCAGACTCAAGGGCAGGCTCTAAGCCTTCCCGTCCACTGTGGCCTCCTTCAGAATTAGACTATTTCCCTGTACTATGAAATAATTCATGCCAACCACATCCGTGGGGGGACCCCTCGGGTTCCAGTACCTGCAGGGAGGTGGCCCCATGCCAGGCCTCAGGCCTCTGATGCCCTGACAGTGGACCCAGAACGAGTCCGGTCCGAGCTCCTCCTTACATCAAGCATGGAAAGGGAAGAGATCTCCCCCTCCTGCCGGCCACCAAAGACCTTTCCCCTGAGTCCAGCCTCATCCTTTCTTTGTATCTCTTTTCTTCCCTGAGCGTCGAGTATAACGAATGGCAAGAAAACGTCCTCAAGTGAAGTCAGCTTCTCCAGCTCCTACCGTTCCGCTCCCGGCTGAGCCTCAGCATCCAGTCCTTCAGGCGAAGGGCAGCGGCTCCTCCCTCTGTCCTCCAGGTAAACCTGCCACCGAGGCCAGAGCAGCAGACAGAAATCAGAGAGCAATTTCCAAGAGCACCTGCTCTGACCGTGACCAAGCAATTTCTCTGCCCTGGTTTAGCTTCTCATAATCTGTGGAATGAGGGAATTCAATTACAAGGTTGTAAGGAGGCCTCGCTGTGGCAAATGTTTGTTTGAAGGGTTTGCCATTGCTGGACTGTCACTGGGAGGACCTGTCCCAGAC